ATATTTTCACCTTTAATTTTAACCAGGGTTGAATCGAGGGTGGCTTATAGTTTTATTTCATAAGAGCGTAAATGTAGCACAAAATGTATTTAATCACTCCCTTCTAACATTTAGGTGTCTTACAACTGTTGCTATAATAAACAATGCTGGAATAAACATCCTCTGTAGATCTTTGTTAACATGAGTGAATACTTGTCCATGATGCATTCCTAGATAAGGAATTCTGTCTGGGTCAAAGGGTGAGATATTTTAAATCTGGATAGATATAATCAAACTGTCCTCTTCAAAAAACATTCCAGTTTATACTTCCCACCGACAATATATCTTCACCAACACTGACTGCTAGAAGTCTTTTCAATTTTTGCCAATTTTTCTGAGTATAGCTGACACAATTTTTGCAAATTTTAATGAGTGAAAACAAATCACACTGTTTTCACATTTCTTATTACTAGATAAGCTCAGCCCTTTACAAGTGTGTATTGGGTATTATATGCATTTCTTGTATAAATAGCCCATACATATTTGCAAGATGGACTTTCCCTGTTGCCAAAAGCTTTAGTCAGACATATTGTTCAATAGCGGTGCTCAAATCCCCCAGAATGCAATGTTATTTCCCTGAAGCCCAATATTTGTAAACATTCCCTTAAATGAAAGCATTAAGTATTTAAGTTCTTCCTCAACAGTGACACAATCCCTGAGTATAAAAGTACACTGGCCCAGGGAGCACCTGAGTGGCTCAGTTGATTGAGCGTCTGACTCTTGGTTTTGGCTCAGGCAATGATCTCAGGGTCATGAGATCAAGGCCCATGTCGAGGCCCACACTGGGCTCCAAGCCTGGCATGCAGTCTGCTTCAGATTCTCTCTCTCCCTCTGCCCCTCCCCCCGTATTCACGTGCTCTAAAATAAATTAAATCTTAAAAAAAAAAGGTACAGTGGTCCAGGACAAAACTCATTTTCTCTGATCCAGCAAGAACCAACCTTACAAGAAAGTCTCTGGCAGCAATGCAGCCCCTCCCTGTTAAGTCTGAGGCACAGAGAAAACTCCATGGAGATGAGATGTCACATCTGCTCCTGCCTGTGGGATCACTTGACTGCCACTAACTGCTGTCTTCACCCAAGTCAAATCAGTGTGCTCCTGAGTCAACAAGAGCTCTCTTCCTGCTGGTCGTTAGCCCACTGAAAGGGATGCAGTAAATATTTTGTCCCATTTCTGTTTTTTTTCATCTTATTGATTTGTTCTAGGAATATTAATCTTTCACATGTCATGTAAGTCCTAAGTTTTTTCTCTCAATCTATCATCTTCTACATATGTGATATCTTCGGCCCTGTTCTGAACTTTTTAGACACTAAATCTGTCAACTTCTCCTTTATGGCTTTTAGGTTTGTTTTGCATTCCTCATCCAAATTATTAAAATAATCTTACTTTTTCTTTGTTCCAAATTTTGTCTCAATAAAATGAAACCTTAAATAAGGCTTTACTTTTTCTTTTTTTAAAGATTTTATTTGAGAGACAGAATGAGAGAGAGCTGGAGTGGGAAGGAGAGGGAGAAGAAGGCTCCCCACTGAGCAAGGAACCCGACACGGGACTCGATCCTAGGACCCTGGGATCGTGACCTGAGCCAAAGGCAGACGCTTAAACGACTGAGCTACCCAGAAGCCCCTTAAATAAGACTTTAAATGAAAGATCTTTTATCTCCAAATGGCTAGCCATTTGGACTAAAAAAGTCTTTTCTTCACAGACATAAAATGCAGCATATAGCATATAGTATTAAATTTTTATATATGGTTATACTGTTTGTTCCAATGATCTATTTCTGCATCAATACCATGCTTCTTATGTTGTGGCTTTCTACGTTCTAAAACATGGTTAAGTCAATTCTCCCATCATAATTCTTTCCCAAAAGTTTATTTACTATTCTTGTTCATTTACTTTTCCAAATCTTTATCAGCTGGACCAGTTCTTTAAAGTTTTATTGAAACTTTTATTCAAATTACACTGAATTTATAGCAAAAAATGGCAGCCATCTATACAATATTGAGTATTCCCATACAAGGATATTGCCTACTTTCTCATTTCTATCTCTTTTTGTCCTTCAGCAAATGTTTTATTCATATAGATCTTGCATAGTCTTATTAAATTTATACCTGGATAGTTTATACCCACTGCATTTTCTGATCTGTGTGTATGGAGGGAGCTGTAATCTAATTAGTAAATTATTTAATAAACTAATAATTTTTGCATGTTTATCTTGAACCCTTTCACCTCACTGAACTCTCTTAGAAGTTCACGCTTTTCAGTTTCTAGGTTGTATTTTCTAGATAATCTTATACCTTGTAAATAATGTTCTGTTGCTTCCATTCCCAATATCTGTATCTCATTTGCTAAGCCCCAGAGAACACTGTTGTAGAACTGAAGTGTAGCTGACATTCTTGACTTGTTGCAGACCTTAATGAGAATATAGAGAAACAATCACATGAATTCCAGTGTCATTCAACTGATAACTGCTTCCCACCCTGAATTTCACCCTAGTTACTGCATTAACCTCACAGCTCCACATTTTTACCCAACCCAACCTACAGCATCTTGGAAGGATGTTACTGTGCTCCAATATTTCCTCATTCAAAACCATGATTCTGAAGGTTCTCTACCAAACACATGACATCGAGTGAATAGTTTCCTTCTCTACATTACCTACATTTAAAAAGTTATTGTGGATTGTGTTAAATACATTTTCAAGGTAAGCTTTTCTCTTTCAACCTCTGTAACTTCCATGTGTACACAAGAATGCATTATTCTTTTAATATATTGCTGGATTTACTAATATTTTAGAGTGGATTTTATAACTTTGTGAGAATATGTTCCAGTGGTTTTGTTATTTTGCTTTTGGTAGTATTCTCTCCAGGTTTGGGCAGCAGGGATAGAACTTTGAACAATGAGTTATGAGGTCTCCTTTTTTGTCTTTTCATTTCCTATATTCTGAAACAGTTTAAAGAGAAATTACCTAATCTTTGAAATTTGGCAGAATGTATATTGAGTTTGTGGAAACTTCTGCAGAAGTAATTTTTTACTAATCCAAGTTTCTTGATTATAAGTATACTAAGGGTATCAGCTTCATTTTCGATAATTTCTAAAAATTTTATGTATTTCTAGAAAAGCATCCATTTCAATGAATGCTTCACCGTATTAAATTTTTCTAGAAATGGGATTTCAGAAGTTTTATTAAAAGTGCAGCTATATGCACTCTTATTAGAAGAAAATTCTTTTTCTTCTGCAAAACCCAAATACACACACACACACACACACACCCCTTTGGAGGTTACATAATAGAACTTTCTACGGCAGCCTGGAAATTGCATGTCACAGCTAGATTGCTCTCATACCCCATTTCTGTGAGACTTTACAACTTATCATACAGTGGTACACAAAGCATTCTCTTACAAAAAGGGTAACACTGCTGTGTTGAGAACAGAGTGCAGTGGGGCAAGTGTGGAAGCACGGAGGAGTTACGCAGTGCTATTCTAGGTGATAGCCCATGGTGGCGTCAACTAGATTGTTAACAGTAGAGGGGATGAGAACTGGTCAGACTCTGAAAATATCTTTGACAGGTGAGCCAAGAGGATTTACACACGCAATGTACTTTCATCAGTAACACTGCATTACAGGTAGATTCTCAACCAGGTACAGCTTTTGCTAAGAATCAATGCACTGACTTCAAGTTTTAAGAAAATTAGGCCCACTGTTTTCCTATTTGTGTATACCTACTTACATTAAGCACACTGCTTCATAAATCTGTTGAAATTCATGTAGATGCTGGAAACAGACTTCTGCTTTCAATTGTGACATGAGATTACTTAAGATAAATTTAGTCAACTATTGAAGCTTTGGGACTTGTTATCCCAGAATTACTGGTGGAAGGGGCTTACAAAACAAATGGGGACATGTTAAATATAAAATTAACGTCTGGATTAGGACCTTGCTTTATTTAAATGTCCTTCATGCTACAACACAACACTTCAATCAAGTATATGACATTATATGCTTCTTCAGAACTTATAAATTTAAGTAACAATTCACAGCCACACCTTCTAAATTTCTACAAGGCAATTTCAATGCCTGAAAAAGCTTATTACTAGACTGTGGCATCAAATCCCACGTTAAATGCAAATTTAAGAAAAACAACTAGAGACTATTATGACTCTATTTATTATTAGACTAACAAAACTCAGTAAATTCTGTGTTACTTGATACACCTACTTCTCAACTCTCTAAACTCATTTCTTAACACTGGGGAGTTTTTTAAAGTATCAATGCCAGGGCTCCATCCCTACTCAATTAAGTCAGAATCTCTGCAGGCCATCTTTTTCTTTTTTTTAAAGTTCTCCAGCAAATCTAATGTCAGCCAGAGTTGGGACCTACTGCTTTAAGAGAATCTTACAAACAAAAAAATAAATAAATAAAGCAGGGGCTCCTGGGTGGCTCAGCCGGTTAAGCATCTGCCTTCAGCTCGGGTCATGACCTCAGAGTCCTGGGATCGAGCCCCGCGTCAGGCTCCCCGCTCAGTGGAGTCTGGTTCTCCCTCTGCCTCTGCCCCTCCACCCTACTTGTGCTCTCTCTCGAATAAAATCTTTAAAAAAATAAAAAATAAAGCAGAGCACAGGAAAAATATAAGAAAATGCTGAGTAAGTTAAAAATCAAAAGGCTCACCCTTTGCTTTCTAACATCACTGACCTCTTGAAAGGTCCAAAGGTTACTAATATTAGAATCTACATTATAACCATATCAATTAAGCAGTTAAGAAAAAATATAAAGTAAAGCCTAGAAAGATCTATGTTACTTATCTAGAATCATCTGGCTTAACAGTGTTTTCCAATGGCGGAAGGCTATCAGGTTTCAGGTATAAACCAATGCAGAAACAATTGCAGGGCACCACAGGGAGGTGAGAACTTCTGGCTCTAGTTTCCTGTGTTTCAGTTCAGGAAAAGAGGAAGGGGACAAAAAGGTGTGTCCATGCCCTAAAGGACAATTTTTATTAATTTCCTTTTCACTCATAATTTCAAAGATAAAGCAACATAAAACATGGAGCAAAGGAAAGCTGGTTTTTAAGAACTTGAGTCTTCAAGATTTTACTGGTACAATAGTCCTTCAAGCCTGGAACCACTCAAAGATGAATCATGCAAAGTAAGAAGAAAACCTTTATTTGAAACAGGTTTGTTGGTATGTGTGCTACAGAAAAGGCTGGTTGTAGCAAGGAGTTTCATTTCAAACCTGCACTAATGTATAAATTAGACATTATTTGGGAATGATTAATTTCTGCTAAAATGTAGATTCAATCCGACATTATGCCAATTTTTACATTTATTGTAGACCCTACTTTAGCACTAGAGGTTAAATTTTCATCACCAAGAAATGAGAATAACCTTACAGCTACCACTAAGGTAATGAGCTGTGAAATTAATTTCCCAGTACTGCTTTGAAAATATACCCCCAGGTTGTAAAGAGAAATTCCGACTCCATCCAAATGTATGATTTCACTGGAATTCTTCAGTCATCATCTACTGTTGGCTTGATTGTCACTCCTCTTCTTATTTGACCCCAACCAATTAAACTGCAAAAAGAAAATTTTAAAAACTATGAATTTTACACCTATTTCATTATCATTACCACACAATCATATGACATAACTGGTTTTACTTGCTTATCTGCTAAATCTGAATGTTCCCAAAACCTGCTCCTCCACTAAGAAAGCTCACGCTTTCTTAGATCCTCACACCCGCAAAGATGGGCCCTAGCCAGAATGAATGACCAAAAAAGCAAACAAAAAGTTGCTGCTACAAATGTGCTTGTCTTCACTCTATTGAAATATACTCACCCCTCCAGAACCACCAGTCTTCCAGTCCAAATAAGGAATCATGCTGATACACAATCTACCACAGTCTGATTTTCTTTTTTTTTTTTTTTTTTAAGATTTTATTTATTTATTTGAGAGAGAGAGAAAGCATGAGGTGGGGAGGGTCAGAGGGAGAAGCAGACTCCTCGCTGAGCAAGGAGCCCGACGCGGGACTCGATCCCGGGACTCCAGGATCATGACATGAGCCGAAGGCAGTCGCTTAACCAACTGAGCCACCCAGGCGCCCCACAGTCTGATTTTCTAAAAAATCTCATTTTCTATCCTTTTCTCCTTGAAAAATGCTTTTTTACCATTCACAGCACTCAACAGATCACAAAGGATTTAGCATGACCTTGGCTGGTAAAGAAAATTAAGAGACGAACTAAAAGAACGTATAGTCTATTAGCAGATACTCTGAATAGCAGAGGGACCTCTGCTCCCTCTTTCACTGTTTGCTCTAATTAATGACCAGGCTGGATTGCTACCTCAACAACAGCTTCAAGAAAACCCATCTAAATACGGGGTAAAACTACAATCGTAGGGAATGTAAAGATCATTCAGAGGCTCTCATTTAATAATTTTAACATACTTGCTAATTTTTAAAAATTTGACTATTTTTTATTTCAATTTATTATTGAAGTAAAATTGACATACAATATTATATTGGTTTCAGGTGTACAACATAGTGATTTGACAATTCTACATATTATTCAATGCTTATTATAAGTGTACTCACCATCTGGCACCATACGTTACAATATTATTGACTATGCTCCCTAACATGCACTTTTCATTTCTAGGACTTATTTTATAACTGGAAGCCTTAATCCCTTTCACCTATTGCACTCGTCCCCCTACCCACCTCATCCCCCCCACCAGAAACCACTAGTTTGTCCTCTCTCTACATATATTTTTAAAAGATTTTATTTATTTGACAGAGAGAGCACAAGCAGAGGGAGAGAGGGAGAAGCAGGCTCCCCGCTGAGCAAGGAGCCCAATGCGGGACTCGATCCCAGGACCCTGGGATCACAACCCGGGCCGAAGGCAGCCGCTTAACTGACTGAGCCACCCAGGCGTCCCTTGTCCTCTATATTTACAAGCCTGTTTTTTAGATTCCACCGATGACTGAAATCATATAGTATTTGTCTTTCTCCAACTTACTTCACTTAGCATAATACCCTCTAGATCCATCCATGTTGTCACAAACGTCAAGACTTTATTTTTTTATGGCTGAGTAATATTTCATTGTGTATATATACCATATCTACTTCATCCACTCATCTACGGATGGACACTTGGCTATTATAACACTGCGATAAACATAGATACATACACGCATGTATCTTTTCAAATTAGTGTTGTTTTCTTTGGGTAAATACCCAGTAGTAGAATTACCAAATCATATGGTATTTTCTTTTATTTATTCATAAGAGACAGAGAGAGAGACAGAGGCAGAGGGAGAAGCAGGCTCCCCGCGGAGCAGGGAGCCCGATGCGGGACTCGATCCCAGGACCCTGGGATCATGACCTGAGCCGAAGGCAGACGCTTAACCGACTGAGCCACCCAGGCGTCCCAATCATATGGTATTTTCATTTTAGGTTTTTGAGGAACTTCCATAATGTTTTCCATAATAGTCTCACCAATTTATATTCCCACGAACAGTGTATGAGGGTTCCCTTTCCTTCACATCCTCACCAACACTTGTTATTTCTTGATTTTTGGGTGTTTTTTTTTAAAGATTTATTTATTTATTTGAGAAAAAGAGAATCTCAAGCAGACCCCCCGCTAGAGTGGAGCCCAACATGAGGCTCAATCTCACGACCCTGAGATCATGACCGGAGCTGAAATCAAGAGTCGGACATCCAACCGAGTCACCCAGATGCCCCTTTTTCTTGTCCTTTTGACACTAGCCATTCAGGAGTGGTGTATATCTCATTGTGGTTTTGATTTGTATTTCCCCGACTATTAATGATACTAAGCATTTTTTCATGTGTTTGTTGGTCATCTGTATGTCTTTGGAAAAATGTCTATTAAGGTGCACTGCCCTTTTAAAAACTGAATTGTTTGGCTTATTTGGCGGGGAGCTGTGGAAGTTCTTTATATATTTTGGATATTAAACCCTTACCGGATACATCATTTACAAGTACCTTTTCCCATTCAGTAGAATGTCTTTTCATTTTGTTGATGGTTTCTTTGCTGTGCAAAAACTTTATATTTTGGTGTAGTCCCAATAGTTTATTTTTGCTTTTGTTTCCCTTGCTTGAGGAGACATATCCATAAATATGCTGCTAAAGCTGATGTCAAAGATTACTGTTTGTTTTCTTTTAAGAATTTTATGGTTTTGGGGGGCCCCTGGGTGGCTCAGTCATTAAGCGTCTGTCTTCGGCTCAGGTCATGATCCCAGGGTCCTGGGATCGAGCCCCGTACCGGGCTCCCTGCTCCGTGGGAAGCCTGCTTCTCCCTCTCCCACCCCCCCTGCTTGTGTTCCCTCTCTCGCTGTGTCTCTCTGTCAAATAAATAAAATCTTAAAAAAAAAAAAAAAAAAGAACTGTATGGTTTTGGGTCTCACATTTAGGTCCTGAATTTATTTTGGGGTATGGTGTAAAAAGTGGTCCAGTTTTGGGGCGCCTATGCGGCTCAGTCAGTTAAGTGTCTGCCTTCAGCTCAGGTCATGAACTCAGGGTCCTGGGATAAAGCCCCAAGTCGGACTCCCTGCTCAGCGGGGAGTCTGCTTTTCCTTCTCCCACTGCCCCCCCACCCCCCATGCTTGTGCACATGCTCTGTGTTTCAAATAAAAAAATAAAATCTTAAAAAAAAAAAAAGGTGGTCCAGTTTCACTCTTTTGTGTGTAGCTGTCCAGTTTTCCGAGCACCATTTTTTGAAAAGACTCTTTTCCCCACTGTATATTCTTGCCTCCTCTGTCATAGATTAACTGACCACACAAGCATGGGTTTTCTTCTTGGCTATTCTGTTCCATGGATCTATTTGTCTGTTTTTTTGTGTCAGTACCATACTGTTTTGATTACTACAGGTTTGTAAGATAGCTTGAAATCCGGGACTGTGATATCTCCAGCTTTGTACTTTTTTCTCAAGATTGTTCTGGCTATTTGGGATGTTTTGTGGTTCTACACAAATTTTAGGATTATTTATTCTAATTCTACGAAAAATGCTATGGAATTTTGATAGGAATTGCACTGAATCTGTAGATTGCTTTGGACAGTAACACCATTTCAACAATATTAATTCTTCTAATCCATAAGCATAGTATATCTTTCCATTTGTTTGTGTGGTCTTCAATTTCTTTCACCAAAGTCTTAGTTTTCAGAGTATAGGTCTTTCACCTCCTTAGATTTATTCCTAGGTTGTTTTTTTTTTAATTCTTTTTTTCTTTTTGGAGCAACCACAAATAGAATCATTTTCTTAATTTCTCTTTCTGCTATTCTGTTGTTAGTATATAGAACTACAACAGATTTTTATATATTAATTTTGTATCCCACAACTTTCTTGAATCCACTTATTAGTAGTAGTAACAGTTTTCTGGTGGAGTCTTGCTAATTTTTAAGCAAAATCTAGTTTCATGTGGATAGAATCCTCTTATAGTATTAGTGGGCAGACACACAAAAAAATCCTTTTATTTTAAAATCTGTTCTGATCTAGGAAATGTACCATTCTAACTAAGTGAGAATAATACATTCCCTGTTGAGAGTTTCTGAAAGTTTATTATTTAAGCCTATTTTAAAATACCCTGGGAATCAGTGTGTCTATAATAGCAAATGGTATAATCACACCAAAGAGTAAAATCAAATGACATAAATCACCACAAAGCAGGATTATTTACTTAAAATTCAACTAGAAGTTTAACTCTCTCTAAATTATAAAGTAATAATTCAGATCAATCTTCTGAACAGTAAGTGATGAGAGACCTTCATGGGGCACAGTATCAGGGAAACCTTAATATGGGAAGTAGTCAGCAAAAAACAGAGCGCCAAAGGTGATCTGAATAATTATGACAACAATGAGGACCCAGAACAGTGTAATTTAGAAAGGTCCAGAATATCATAAAGTAGTGCAAACTACTGGAAATTAATGAACACAGCATAATAAAAATGTTTTAGGAAGATTAATTTTGAGCTCTTAACTAACAAAGGAAGAGGCAAATTAGGAATCTTTTGCAGTAACTTTTGTCAGAGAGAGAGAGAGAGAGCGAGCACGCACAAGCAGGGAGAGAAGCAGGCTCCCCGTTGAGCAGGAAGCCCGATGTGGGACCTGATCCCAGGACCCTGGGATCATGACCTGAGCCGAAGGCAGCCGTTCAACTGACTGAGCCACCCAGGCACCCCATCTTTTGCAGTAACCTTTAAGTATGAAATGATGGCAGTAAGGGGCATAATGAGGCCACATAGAATAGAAAGGAAAGGGTAGATTCAGTAACTAACTAGGTAACTAAGAGCAAACAGTCAGAAGTCAAAGAAGTGTCTCCTTGCTTATCCACTCAAAGGACATAGAAGGAATAGCACCAGGCGCCTGGGTGGCTCAGTTGGTAAGCGACTGCCTTCGGCTCAGGTCATGATCCTGGAGTCCCTGGATCGAGTCCCGCATCAGGCTCCCTGCTCGGCAGGGAGTCTGCTTCTCCCTCTCCCACTCCCCGTTTGTGTTCCCTCTCTCGCTGTGTCTTTCTCTGTCAAATAAATAAATAAAGTCTTTAATAAAAAAAAAAAAAAGAAAGAAAGAATAGCACCCTAGGAATAATGAGCACATCTAGCACCCAGATCTTCATTTCTAAATATCATTCCCCACTAAAAGAAACCAGGCTTCCTTGGAGAAATGGCCAATTTTAAAACTGGAGCAGGGGAGGTATAAGATGAGTTTGGAATATCTTGTGCCAGAAACTAAGGAACTGTTAAAAAAAAAAATGAGGGGCGCCTGGGTGGCTCAGTTGTTAAGTGTCTGCCTTCAGCTCAGGTCATGATCCCAGGGTCCTGGGATCAAGCCCCACATCGGTCTCCCTGCTCGGTGGGAAGCCTGCTTCTCCCTCTCCCACTCCCCCTGCTTGTGTTCCTGCTCTCGCAATCTCTCTCTCTGTCAAATATAAAAATAAAATCTTAAAAAAAAAAAAGTAAATTAAAAAAAATGATGGGGACATGTCAAAAGGACACAGAAGCCAGCCTGAAGGATCTCTACTAGACAAATCCTGAACAATTTGGGCATTAAAATAAATAAGGACAGTAATGAATCATAACCTATTGAAATAAAATAGAATTCCATGAGTCTATATTATAACCAGTTAAGTAAACAATAGGGAAGAAAAAATAATAAATGAGAAGTGGTGGGTTGGGGGAGGGGTGTCATTTTGTAATCATATAATCAAGTTCAATTCAGACAAGAATTATCAGTGGAGGGCGCCTGGGTGGCTCAGTTGGTTAAGCGACTGCCTTCGGCTCAGGTCATGATCCTGGAGTCCCGGGATCGAGTCCCACATCGGGCTCCCTGCTCGGCAGGGGGTCTGCTTCTCCCTCTGCCCTCTTCCCTCTCATGCTCTCTGTCTCTCATTCTCTCTCTCTCAAATAAATAAATAAAATCTTTAAAAAAAAAAAAATTATCAGTGGATGCTAAATCCAGGGGGGTGAGATTTGATGAGGAGTTAGCTATTCACCTAGTCTCAATGAGTCTTCCCACAAAATGCTTAGTAGGGGCACAGGTATAAAGAGTATATAGTAGAAAAACTGGACAACACTTCAACTGCATAATCAAAATTAATCTTCACAAGGAGGAGCAATCAGATCTCATGTGCCTCTGGCTGTGATTTCCTGAGGAGACATCACTACCTATATGAGTATTCCAGCCAAGAATACATAACCTGAATCTAATCTTAGGAAGTATCAGATAAACTCAAATTGAGGAAGAATAAAAATGTATTCTTCAAAATAGTCAATGTCAAGTAAGACAAAAAAAAATTGATGAAGTACCCAATTAGAGATCAAAGAGACATATGACAACTAAATGCAGTGAGTGAGCCTAGACCAGAGGGACTAGAGAACATTATTGGGACAAGCTGTATAACTGGATTATCAACTGTAGGTTTCAGTAATTTATTGATGTTAACTTCTTGTAGTGGTTAATTAAGATAATGTCTTTGTTTTTAGGAAATATATACCAATGTGTTAAGAGATCAAGAGGTATGATATACACAACCCACTCCTCAAACAGTTGAGAAAAAAGTTTATACATAGAGAAGAATACACACACACACACAAAAATAAATTGTGTATCTGGGAAAAGGGAACAGGAGTTGTGTGCAATTCTTGCAATTTTCTTGTTAAGTTTGAAATTATTTCCAAATATAAAGTTTTAAAAATCCAAAGAGAAATACTGAACCTAAATTCACTGGTTTTTTCATAGGTTGTGTGTATCACAAATCAGGGGCTAGAAATACAGATTCAAAGTCATCCAAATAAACAGCTGACCTAAAGAACTGCTGTGTTTAAGGTAAAGTGTGCATGCACACTACCAAGAACTTAAGGGAACTGACTGTGTCTTTTTTATTAGATAGTGACAAAGGCTTGTAAACTTACCGCCAGTGTTTCTCAACTCTTCGGCTAAGGGCAATTTTTTCTCCTACTTCTGTGCACACAGGATTAGTCAAAACGATTTTGCCCAAATCGGCCTTGACTGCGCTAACTCTTCCTCCTGTTGACAGGGATCCTATGTTCACCATGAGCACTTCATTCTTAGAGAGCTTTTGCACCTAGGAAAATAAATCGAGGAAAGATAAACCCCAAATCAAGAAAATGCTTTCCAAAAATGACTGCTTATTTTCCTACATCCTTGCCAACAATAGACACCAGCAATTTTCCATCTCTGCTAACCTAGTATGAGACTTTTCAACTTCCTGAAAGTAGAAAGCCAAATTTACTCACCTTTTCTTTATCTTAATCCCACATTAACTATAAAAGAATGAACCTCAAAACTGGTCCTAACATCACTGCCACTTTTCTGAAACAGGAATTACAGAGAGCACTTACCTTTGCTGCTTTCTTGTCTCCTTCAGTGCGTACACCTAGCAGCCGTCTAAGTAGGAAATAGGAGATTTCCAATTCTGTGAAGATCTCCGGTAAAGCTCCAACTGCACCAAGTACCTGTCCCACCATTCTGTCAGCCCGGCACAAAGTGGGGTCAATTTTTGTTCCCACTCCTGATATAAAAACAAGACATATAAAGCCCAACTTTTTATTTTCTATAAAGCGGTTTACCCAAAACTTAGTCAAACAAGTACAACGTATACCTATACATTTTAATACACATTTATATTCTCATACTCATGTAATAGCTACACAGGCATGACAAAATACCTGTCTTACCTGAAGAAATAGAAACAAAAACCCATGGATTAGTTGGGCATTTGAGAACAGTCTCTTGATTTAAATTCTAAACAAAGGACAGAAATGACAGTCTAACTCAAAAATGGTCTGAATATACTTAATAAAGGTTGAAAAGATAAAAATTCATAATGAGTAATTTTTAGAATATTTGCCTGCCATTTCTCCCCTGGAAGGCTGATAAAAAAATAACATCAGGACTTCACATATGATTCCTGGGACCCACCTTAAAATATTTTAGCCGCGTATGAGGAGAGAGAAGGAGACATAAAGATGAAGCAAGACTGGTAAAGTACTGATAACTGTTCAAGCTGGGTGGTTGCTACATGAGCATTATCATAAAATTATATACAGTAAACTCTTAATTACAGGATAGAAAACTGAATTATATACCCAAAAACCAGAGAACCAAAAGACAAACTTCTTTATCCAACAATTTCTTCTTTAATCCAAAGGAACAACATATCTAATTCTCTTTGAATCTTGTCTTTTTCTGGGTATCTGGTAAGAAACTAAGTTGTAAGGAACTAGAAAAATCCATAAAATCATCTCAGTAATTGCTACACAATCGAAGTTATTTTTTTATTCCCACCTCAGAGTAAACATGATCTGACAGGATTCAATTGACATTTGTGGGTAACTTTCCATTTGCAAAACACACAAAAAAACAACCACTTTCTACCACCAAAATTGTGTAGACAAAAAAGTATACTTGATCATTTTAAATGCTGGATCATAAAACTTATTTTATTACTGCTAAAAAGAGTTACTTCATATACTAAACCAAAATGTATTCTTCTTTATCCTTAGAAATAACTCTTACAAACACATGAAACTATTTTATGAACCAAAACCAACAGCTTAACCACACGAATGTTTCCCACTCCAATCAATTATTTAAAATACCCAATTAGGGGGTGCCTGAGTGGCTCAGTCGTTAAGCGTCTGCCTTCGGCTCAGGTCATGATCCCAGGGTCCTGGGATCAAGCCCCGCATCGGGCTGCCTGCTCCACGGGAGGTCGGCTTCTCCCTCTCCCACTCCCCCTGCTTGTGTTCCCTCTCTCACTGTCCCTCTCTGGCAAAAAAATAAATAAATAATTAAAAATAAACAAATAAAATACCCAATTAAAAATCTACAATATTATCTTTTTGGGTAATCCTTTTCCTATGAAAAATACCACAAATTAAAAATGTAGGGATGAGGGGCACCTAGGTGGCTCAGTCATTAAGCGTCTGCCTTCGGCTCAGGTCATGATCCCAGGGTCCTGGGATCGAGCCCCACATCGGGCTCCCTGCTCTGCGGGAGGCCTGCTTCTCCCTCTCCCACTCCTCCTGCTTGTGTTCCCTCTCTTGCTGTACCTCTCTCTGTCAAATAAATAAATAAAATCTTTAAAAGTAAATAAATAAATATAAATAATAAAAATGTAGGGATGAGAGAAAAATCCTTACCGATAAGACCTCCTGGAGCAGCATACTGAAGATCATTATGTTCTGCAAAAAGCGACACGATTTTGGAAAAGATTGGTTTACACATGAGTTTTCCTTCACTATCTTTGGAAACAATACCAGGTCTGACTTCTATCTCCTGGCCCACCTGTAAACATATTAAGTTAGTAATTAGAATTACTGTGGGATGACACCATTATCACTTACATATCAAAAGTCCTAACAGGAAGACACCAAAACTGAAAAGGCAATTATTTCTCTATGTCGAGGACTATTACTAAAAAAAAAAAAAAAAAAGTGGAAGTGAGCTTCAAAACCAGAAACAGCCATCCAACTGTTGCTAACTACCTACCACACAAGCTTATCTCCATATAAAACGTGCTCCATACTCAAAAAGAAAAAAAATTTTACTTTCAATTTGGAGTGTCCATACTATTCACCTTATGATTAAGACAATGGAAAAATAAAATAAAAACACAGCAATAAAAATCCAGTTCACCTTTAATACTCCTTTTAGAATACTACCACCAGCTACACCACCCTTAAGGTCATCAACTTCACAGCCAGGTTTGTTGACATCAAAGGACCTAATAACTAAAAGAAAACAAAACAAATTAAAGCTAATTCTGCTCATTTTAACTTTAAAGGAAATATTCTTTACTAAGATAACTTTTCTAAGATAGTAACCACATAATATTTGTACACACAGGGGCGACTTTGTAACAGAATCCACTATCAGTACTCCTACGATTATTGCAGGCTTACTTATGATGAAAATAGTGGAAATAAATTAAAAGTTAACTGATAGGGGGCATATTATGGTACATCCATACTATGGAATATCAGCAGGTATTAAAGAATGTTTTGAGTTTTGTTTTTTTTTAAAGATTTATTTATTTATTTATTTATTTATTTATTTATTTAGGAGAGAACGTACAAGCATGCTGGGGGGATGAGCGGAGGGAGAGGGAGAGAGAAACTTAAGCAGACTCTGCACTGAGCGTGGAACCCAACATGGGCCTCGATCCCATGACCCTGAGATCACAACCTGAGCTGAAACCAAGAGTTTAGACACCTAACCAACTTCGCCACCCAGGTACCCCTAAAAAAGAATGTTTGACCGATAATGTAATGACTTAAAAGGATAACCCACATATACTATTTAAAACACACACAAAACTAGACAAAAATAACACAGACTATGATCCCATTTCCATAAAGTAAAACTAAAACAGGAAACACGTACATGTTTATACATAATGAGGTGAATAAAGAGGAAGGTGTGAGAATAACACACACCATTAACTTTGGTTACTTCTGGGCTAAGGGTCTAGAAGCGAAAGGCAGGGAGACTATGGACTTTTCTTTCTTTATCTACCTCTGTATAACTTCTTAAATTAAAATTTAGTTTTAAAAACTACAAAACAACTTTAGAAATGCATGAACTGAACTTAGGTCCTGAGAGCAGTGACCCTTAACAAGGATACGCATCACAATCACCCAAGAGAACACTTCCCACAATATAAAGGGGGGCACCAGGTGCAGGCCCAGAGAGGTTCAAATGTCTGTTTTAAAAAGACTCCTACAGGGCGCCTGGGTGGCTCAGTTGGTTAAGCGACTGCCTTCGGCTCAGGTCATGATCCCGGAGTCCTGGGATCGAGTCCCGCATCAGGCTCCCTGCTCAGCGGGGAGTCTGCTTCTCCCTCTGCCCCTCCCCCCTCTCATGCTCTCTCTATCTCATTCTCTCTCTCAAATAAATAAATAAAATCTTAAAAAAAAAAAAAAAAGACTCCTACATCTCTGTGTAGGAACCACAAGCTTAGCACAGTACCAATATTGGTCCTATGAACTTAAATAAAAGTGAAAAGGACATGAAAATCTTCATTAATGTTACAATGAAAACATTTGTACGAAAGTTCTAATATCCTGTTCCTGACTAAAACATTTTAATTCCATGGAGAATACTGTACAACTCCATCTTGATCACATGACATGCCATATACAGACCACAAAAAGGTTAAAAGTTCCTTCTGTGTGGGGACTCTGTCCCTCTACCAGTAATGCAATCTAGCACTGCCAATACAATCCCAGAATCAAAAAAAATTTTTATGGAGATTGTTATTATCTCTGCAGAAAGAGAAGTATTAATAAACACCCTTCAAGAGGAATCACAGGATGCCTGGGTGGCTCAGTCGGTTAAGTGTCTGCCTTCGGCTCAGGTCATGATCCCAGGGTCCTGGGATTGAGTCCCACATTGGGCTCCTTGCTCAGCGGGGAGCCTGCTTCTCCCTCTGCCTGCCGTTCCCCCCCCGCTTGTGCTCTCTCTCTCTCTGACAAATAAAATCTTAAAAAAAAAAAAAAAAAAAAGAGGACTCACCAATGTCAAAAAGATCAAATTAAGAGTTAAAGACAAATATTATCACTTACCAATAAGTCGGGGTTCTGAAGTAAAGTCTCTTGGGGGTACTGGAATTTTCTTCACTATGTACTCACAAACAACTTCAATATTGTATTTCAGCTGAGCAGAAATTGGAATAATAGGAGCTCCTTCTGCTACTGTACCTATATAAAATTCAGAAAGATTAAGATTCTTTAGTTTTACAGAACTTGATCTTTCTATGTTACAGGAAAAGGTTAAGATTACTAAAATAGATGCCTAGGGGCGCCTTGGTGGCTCAGTCAGTTGAGCCTCCTGATCTTGGTTCAGCTCAGGTCATGATCTTGGAGTCATAGGATTGAGCCCCATGGCAGGATCTGTGCTCAGCAGGGAGTCTGCTTAAGATTCTCCCTCTCCCTCTTCTTCTGCCCCCCTTCTCTAAATAAATAAATCTTAAAAAAAAAAAAAAACTAAAATAGATGCCTAAACATCCTCACATAAATGCCAGCAACAAACAAATGCAAAGTGATAATTCTGTTTAGAAAGGTGGCAGTATTCTGTTTGTTTTACTCCTGAAAATGAACACTAGTCCCTTTATGGAAAAAAACTGTTAAAATATATTTACACATGTATTTACTATACTAAAATGATAATACTGTCTAAAGGAATAAAATACACTCCTGGGAAAAAACACTTTACTAGTTTAAAGATTTCTAATAATGTGTAATTAACCTCCCAAAAAATGTCAAGATAAAATTACAGACTCTTTGCTAATCAAAGACTACTAGCTCATAAAATATTTGCTCCTTATTAATTATATGTCAAACAGGTTGGTCAAAGAAATGGACCAAACATAATTAGATTTTAATCAAAATGACTTATTCTTTTTTATCACGACAGAACTAGGTTCATGGGAGTCAACCCTTCCAACAACGCTGAGAGAGAATTGCAACAATAACATGCATCATATCTTCCCTGAAATGAAAAACCCTATGCAACAGAGAAACGAACACTATAAAGATTAAATATATCACTGTCACTTCCAATGATCAAAGTATTAGGTAAGAGTAGTGTAAGACTTAAATTTAAAACAAAAAATCTTTTGTTCATTAAAGAGGACTTTTTTTTCTAAACCGACTCACAGTTTCCAGAATACAACTTCAGTTCTAACTTTCAGCCAGCAAAAATATACTTCAGTTTAAACTTCCAATTATAAAATAAGTCACCGGGATGAAACGTATAGCATAATGAACACATACATTAATATTTTAACAACTTTGTGTGGTAAAAGACAGTAACTACATTTACTGTCAGTAACACTGCATAATGTATAGAATTATCAGAACTGTCGAATCACTGAGTTGTACACTTGAAACTAATGTAACAGTATGTCAACTATACTTCACTAAGAAAGTATTTTAAATATATGTGGATGAAAAGATGTATGTGCTTTAGTTTATCAAATTCACAAACAGATTTCACTAATTGTATCCGGTGACTAACAAGTAGTAGGTAGAGAAATAAGGTCTTAAGATGCATAAATTTATCTATTTCAGATAGTCTATTATAGTAAAACTTAAATTTAACATCCGGTATCTGGATTAAATACCTCTCAAAGTGATTCACAGATTTATTAGCAATTATGGTTTCTTACCTTGTACAAACGCAAGGATCTGTTCATACTGTTCTTTAGCCTGACTTTCTTTTACCAAATCAATTTTATTTTGTAGAATCAAAATATGCTTCAGTTTCATGATTTCTATAGCAGCCAGGTGTTCAGAAGTCTGAGGCTGAGGACAAGACTCATTACCAGCTAGATGAAGAGGAATAAAAAAGATGCATGAGAATTAACTGGAAATATCCAGAATACGCAAATTCATAGGGACAGAAAGCAGATTAGTGGTTGCCAGGAGATGGGGGGAAGGTATGGCATAGAGTGACTGCTTAACGGGCATGGGGTATCCTTCTGGGGCAACGAAAATGTTCTGGAACTAGAAATTGGTGATGCTTGCAGAACTGTGAATGTACTTAATGTCATTGAGTTGTACACTTTAAATAATTATAATGGTAAATATTATTTTAAGTGTATTTTACTACCAAAACAAACTTAAAGGAAACTTTTGCATGTCCTAGCCTTACTCCAGGCAAGAGTCCTGGATATCACTGCCAAGCATCCACCTTTTGCCCTGTTTCACCCTCTGTGCCTGCGTTCACTGGAGCCTTCAGATCATTTGGCTTTTATCTCTGGTGCTATGCAAGAAGCTTGGAATCAACAAGTTTGGCATCCCAGGGTCTGCCCTTAGCCTTTGCTAAGGTATAAGGTATAGCCCTCTGGCTCTATCCAGTCTTAGAGATGTTTTGGCCCAGTTAAGCTCCTGAGAGGTAGAGAGTAATTAAGGGAAAATGCTTACTACAGTCTGTGAATTTCAACTACTACCAAAGGGTACTCCCTAACAAAGGGAGATAAGAACACTAAATGCACAGTTAACCAACAGTGTTGTCATAAAGAAATTGGCATTTTTGGGGGGGCACTCCAACAGTCACCTTCCCCAAGCAGTGATATTGAGCTGTCCTGTACTCTATCTACTTGGCATCCTCTAAAAAAATTATGTCCCATAGATTAAGTGTCTGCCTTCGGCTCAGGTCATGATCCCAGGGTCCTAGAATTGAGCCCACCATCAGGCTCCCTGCTCAGGCTGCTTCTCCCTCTCTTCCCTGCTCTTGCTCGATCTCTGTCTCTCAATCTCAAATAAAATCTTTAAAAAAATAAAAATAATGTCTCATAGCAATGAAATCTCTTGACAGCTCACATAAGGAAGGTAGCACAACCCTAGCTTTGAAAACCCCAATTAGGTCTACACTTCAGCACTTACTATGAATGAGATTTGCATCTAAATAAAACCACTATACATCAACGTTGCAGTGGATGAAAATACATGTACACTTACAAATTTAAAACTAAAATAATAAATCATCTCATGTGATCCAGGTGGGAAAAACGCACTACTGACTTTAATTTAAAAAGATACATTAACCTAAGAATTCTCATATCAGCCCCACATCTACCTTGCTTAGTGTTTTATGATACCTGGTAGGCAGGGATGTCATCCTGGATGACATGTTAGCTCTCATTTGTGTCACCCTTAGGTAATCCTTTAAATATTCCATCTTGGATTTGTTCCACATTGATTTGTCAAAACCAATTCTGATATATTTACCTATCAACAGAAGAGCTGCATCCATCACTGCTGCACCGTTTAGCATAGTAGCCATCAAAATATCGTGGCCAGGACAGTCAACAAAGGAAACATGTCTAACAATTAAGAAATAGCAATCAGTACTAAAATCAATCCATATTTCAACACAGAAATTCCCAAATCCAATCAAAATGAATATGGTATAGAGTATGGTAGAAAATACATACTGGAAATGTCATCGATTTGAAAGCTAAAACAGTGTTAACAGAATGGGCACTGCCATCTGAAAAAATAATTTGCCAAAAATTCCTCCAGCACCTTGAAAAGCTGGAACTGCCAATTTGAAGTAGAGATGGCAGTACTATTTTAGACAAACTGCTACTTATTGAGAATCACTATTTTTAAAGAGTGTATGCTCACACTGTCAAGATCTGAAACAGGGATTAGCAAAAGGCCCCTAGGCCAAATCTGGCCCATACCCACTCAAGCACATATTATTTACATCTGCTTTCATAACACAAGAGCAGAGATGAGTAGCCTCTTCCCAGAGAACCTATGGCCTGCAAAGTTGTAAATATTTATGATCTGGCCACTTATAAAAAAAGTTTGCTGATCTCTGATGAGGACCAGAACCAGGGTGAGGCTGAGTGAGACATCTGCCTTAGGGGCAAAATTTAAGAGAGTGCCAAAAAACTCACTAATCAAGATAAATAATATTTAAATTTAAGATTTTTAAAAACAAAATTAATGCAAAAAAATTCACAATGAGAAAAATATCAAAGGTAACTAATAATGCCACACCGAACCAGAAATTAGTAATACTGAAGAGGGGGAAAAATCTGTAATTTTGAGTTGTCTTTATTTAAACAAATGATATTCTATTAGGATTTTTTTTGCATCAATTTCAAAAAGCACTGCCTTGAAATACTGTTTATCCTGATCACTGAGGGTTTTTTTTTTTTTTTTTTTTTACATTTTGGGTCCAAGGCAAGGGCCTCACTCGCCTCTCCCCAGTCCCAGCCTTGCCTCAATGTAAAATTTCCTTGTGGGCCATCCCCAACCGCATTAACATCACTAGGGAGTAGAGGTCTGTATCCTCTGATAAAGAACCAGGATATGAATCACATTCAGAAACTAGATGGGTAACAAGCCCACGTACTGAAGAGAGGTAATTAAGAATGGCTTTGTGCATCCCCTATCTAAAAAACAGAAACAACATTGTTTAAAAGAAATGTAGAAAGCCTGACAAAAAGCTTCCCCTAAGTCCAACGAGCTGTGTTTCCCTCCATTCCATCTGCTTACATGATACCTTTCCTTTGGAGAACTTGAATGGAAGTATCTAAATTGAGGTTGAAATACTTGACCTTTCAAATTACTATCATTATAGACAACAAGAACATTAAAAAATAGACAACAAAAATATTCAGCAATTAGTTTAATAATTTAATCTCAGTTAAATATTTCAAAAACACAATCACAAGACGATAGAATATGAACTATAAAGTGTTTTTTGAAAGAGGTCACCTGACTAATTTGAAATTCCCTTTGGTCCCTGGAATGTCTGTAGGAAACTCATCTGGTGTACTACTTCCACAGGATCTATAACATTCCGGCCGGGGACAACTTGGGTCGTCAAGTTTATATATCTAAAAATTCCAATGAAAAAAAGATTCAAATTTGTTATCTGCACATTCAACAAAGTTACTTCTAGTTCCACAGTACAAGCTCACCTTAGCATTAGCATACCCAAGCTTGATTGTAATATTTCTTTCTAGTTCATTTTTGAACCTGACAGTGTGAACTCCAGAAATAGCTTTTACAACTGTGGATTTTCCATGAGCTACATGACCAATTGTACCTACAGAAAAAGTATAAGAAATTAATTCATGTACGTTCAGTTACACCAAACACTATTTCAAAAAGCACTGGAGTAGAAAACCCAAAGCTAAAACTCACTATAAATATCAACATAAAACCAACAGTGACTTCAATTTTTCATTCTTCATATTCTTTCCTAACAAAACCTTATTCTGATACAGGACTGAATGGAACTTTCCATGTAATCACGATGTCGTTCAAAAACTACACTCCAGTATAGGAAAAGCTATTCATCTTATGTTTCTGATCACATAAAAGACTGCCTTCATTTAAAATAAACACTTAATAAGAAGATAAAATCCTAAAAAAAAAAAACAAAAAAAACCCCAGAAGATAAAATCCTAAATACTAAGGAACTTTCCAGCATAAACAGGTATGAGTCCTGACACCACCAAAAAGAATCCAGGAAAACAACCCAGGTTTAATTATGGTAATGCTATCAAGGTTAGCACATACCTTATAACTTCTTAACAACCTGACAGTAGAGCTTTACTTTTAACTACATTTAATTGTGCCACTTGTACAGGCTATCAAATTTAAATTTGACTCTCAGTCAACATACCTTCTCCTCTAAAGTTCTAGATGGCAATTAGGAGGGAAAAAAAAAAAAAACTTTCTTAATAATCACTTATATACCAAATAAAACTTTTGTGAAAATTATGCCCCTGCAATAACCCTGTGTGGCAAGTACCACCACATTTTCACCTCTTCTGCTACATACGACTACATCTTGCCTTATGCTACTAAATTTTTCATGTCTGTATCTTTTCTTTGCACCTAGACATGAGCTAGGCTTGAGCAATATATGCTTCCCACAAAATCCGGCAGGTGCTTTACTCACACAGGCTCAAAGTCTATTTCTTGAACATCTGCGTCCTCATAAAATTCAGGCAATCATACAAAGGGAGAAGTTAAAATTTCTTGTCGAGATCAAGCAAGTCAGGTCACCAAGTTATTCTTATCTTACCTATATTAATTGTGGCTTGTCTGCTGATAACTTCGTGTGAAAGTGGCGTCAACTTGGTAACATCCTGCAATGAAACATTTTTATTTTACATCGCTGTACGTAAGACAGATCACAACTTTTCCTTTGATTTTACATTTGCTACCCACAGCTTGCCACCACGTAACAGCTCTCCTCTACTTCTAAAGCACTTCTCCTGCAAAAGCAATATTGTACTCTGATGACTGGGAAGCCCTAAAAGTCCTTCATCGTTATAGAAGACTACACCTCCACTCGCTATGGGAGATGTGAAAGCCCGAGGACCCCCCCCCCCAACCTTGACAGCATTAGCACTGAAGACGAGGTAGACGCTCCCTTCCCAGACCTTAAGAAGCAAAAGCCTTAGTAACATTTAACGTCATGACTTTCCAGCCGAATCCTTCGGGGACTTGAAGTCCCACAACCTCACAGCCCCATGCACAGCTCGCGAACTTGCCAAGGTGCAGGCAGCGGCAGGACTCTCCCTCCTAACGCATGCTCCCGACAGACAGCCCGCCACTGCCTCGTCTCAGCGCCTCCCAGGAGGCTCGATCATCCACTTCTGAGCTCACTCCGCATCCTTGCAGAACGAAACCTTACCAAGGTGGCGAGATCCTGACGAGAAAGATGCGGCTGCCCCAGAGTCACTCCAGCCTCACCGCCCGCCATCTTGCTCCGAGAGGAAGGAAGTCGCCCCAGTTGCTGCCTAACCGAACGCAGGTCCCCTTGTGTGGGGCGGGGGAGCGGAGGCGGGACGGCCGACTAGGGCCCACGCCTGGGAAAGGAGGATGGCCCGTGCAGCAGGGTCCTCGCTGCTTGGACTTCTCTCCGCTTGGGTTTACACAGTGCCTGCCGGAAAACTCACTAAAAAACAGGAGGCAAAGTTTCGGAATCCATTCGTTGCAGACCTGACGGATTTTTGTGCAGGCAACGCTGAGGGCAGCCCCCAAAGAAGACCCCCCCCCCCCCCCGCCTTGCTAGGCGGGTGATGCAACCGCCAGGCGCGCAGGCGAGGGAGAAGCCATTTCCGGTTCCCGTGGGGATGGCCGGAAGACTTACCGGAAGCTGGGAATGTTCTCTGGGGGTGTGAGGACAGACGGTGGGGCTGTCCATCTTATGATTTCCGTAATTTAATAAGGCGAGATCGGCTCGGGGTGCGGCTCGGCTGTGACGGCCACGCTGGCCGCTCTTACGGCCCTGCGCGTCACCTGGCGGGCGGCGGGGAGGGCGCCCTCGCGCGGAGGTTTGATGAAGTGGTCAGCGGCCCAGGATGGGAAGAGCAAAGTCCCTAACTTGTTCTTAGAGACAGGTTTCTAGGGCCCGGGAGGCGGTCCGTAGTGGCTCTGAACTGCACAGCATGGAGTTAGCATAGGATGGAAGCTAGGTGTTGTAAGCGCGCCCACGGAGGCGTTTTTTTTTGTTTGTTTTTTGTTTTTTAAGCCCATACAGGAAAACTCACTTCTTTAATGGAAAGATTACCACTAAATCGGTGTTTTACAATTTAAAGACTTCGGGGAATTTCCTAACTTTTTTTTCACGGTGTATCAACAAGAAGTCGAGTAATTTTTGTTTCTCCCCATGCATTTCTATACTTTACAAATTTTCTGTCACGAACAGGTGTTCTTTTCTAGCCGGCAAAAAATATAAGAAGAGGTGAATAAGAATTTAGATTACCTGTGTTCATAGAATACTGAAGTAAGATTAAAAGGAATATGTTTTCTATCACATAAGTTTTAGGTTACAACAGTTTACCTAACATAGGAAGTTCTATTTCAATAAAGGCATTCATTGGTTAAGTGATGGTAGAGACTGTACAATTTTATTTGAATGGAGGCATTTAGTTCTTGAATTTATTAACTTACAGATTTGTAACTTAATAAATTTAGAATTTATCTTACATTCTAAATAGTATGGTCCCACAGAAAACCAATTCAGAAAACCCACTGAGGTGATAAAAATGTAGAAATGTCGAATCATTATGTCATACACCTGAAACTAATGTAATATTGTATGTCAACTATACTTAAATTTTTTTCAACTATACTTCAATTTAAAAAAATGTCGTTGAACTAGTAATGGTTGCACAACTTTGTGAATATTCTAAAAACCAGTAAACTGTACAGTTTAAAAGAGTGAATCTAATGGTATGTGAATTTTATCTCAATGTAAAGTAAAATTCATTGATAATAAATAGAACATAATATGCTTCATTGTTAGAAACGTGTACTGAAAGTAGAAATGTCACAAGAAATAATGTTATTAATTAAAAATTATAGTTAAATATTGGCACTGACTTACAAGTATTAACTTTATTGACTCCTCACAACAATCTGATGAGGTAGATAGTATAATTCCCATTTTTACAGGTGAGGAAACTGAGTCCCTAAAATATTACATAACATGCCCACAATCCCACAGCTTGTAAGTAACAGAGCTGGAATTCATAGGCAATTACAAGTATAATCTTTATTTTTTTAAAAAAACTTTATTTGACAGAGAGAGACACAGCAAGAGAGGGAACACAAGCAGAGGGAGTGGGAGAGGGAGAGGGAGAAGCAGGCTTTCCGCCGAGCAGGGAGCCTGATGCGGGGTTCGATCCCAGGACCCCGGGATCATGACCTGAGCCGAAGGCAGACGCTTAACGACTGAGCCACCCAGGCGCCCCACAAGTATACTCTTTAAAAAGTTTGCTTTGAGGGCGCCTGGGTGGCTCAGATGGTTAAGCGTCTGCCTTCGGCTCAGGTCATGATCTCGGGGTCCTGGGATCGAGTCCCGCATCGGGCTTCCTGCTCCTTGGGAGCCTGCTTCTCCCTCTGCCTCTCTCTCTCTCTCTCTCTCTCTCTCTCTGTCTCTCATGAATAAATAAAATCTTAAAAAAAAAAAAGTTTGCTTTGAGGTGGGCGCTTGGGTGGCTCGGTTAAGCGACTGCATTCGGCTCAGGTCATGATGCTGGAGTCCTGTGATCGAGTCCCGGATCAGGCTCCCTGCTCAGCAGGGAGTCAGCTTCTCCCTCTGACCCACCCCCCTCTCGTGCTCTAGCTCTCTTATTCTCTCTCTCAAATAAATAAATAAAAAGATTTAAAAAAAAGAAAACTCCCCAAATTTTTTAAAAAGTTAGCTTTGAGGTAAAATTTGCATACCATGAAATTCACCCACTTTAAGTATACAATTCAGTGATTTTTACTAAATTTGCAGAGCTGTGTAACCACAATCCAGATTTTGAATATTTCTGTCACCCCAAAGAGATCCCTCATGTCTATCTGCAGTCAGTCCCCCTTTCCGTCTCTGGGCCTAGGCAACCACTTAAAGTCTTTGTCTCTACGGACAATTTCTGGACATTTCCCGTAATTGGAATCATATAATATGTAGTCTTTTGCATCTGGCTTCTTTCACTGCGCATAGTGGTTTTGAGGTTCATCCATGTTATAGCATCTATCAATAGTAGTTCATTCCTTTTTATTCCTGAGTAAATCCCATCACATGGGCATACCACATTTTGTTAATCCTCCCACCAGTTGATGGATATTTGGATTGTTTGCACTTTGGGCTATTGTGAATAATACTATGAACGTTGGTGTACAAGTTTTTGTTGTGAATAATGCTCCTATGAACATTTCTGTATACATTTTTATGAAAACATATTTTCATTTCTCTTGGTAAATACCTAGTTGTGCAATTGCTGAGTCCGATGGTAAATCTATGCTTAACATTTTGTGAAACAGTCAAACTTTTCTAAAATGGCTGCACCATTTTACATTCCTACCAGCAATCTATGAGGGCTCCAGTTTCTCCATATCCTCACCAATGCTTGATTTTTTTTTCTTTTTATTATAGACATTCTAGTAGGTGCAGTTTTCATTTGCATTTCTCTAATGACTAATGATGTATTAAGCATCATTTTATGCACTTATTAGCCATTCATATTTCCTCTTTGGTAAAAAAGCTATTCCAGCCCATTCTTAAATTGGGTTGCCTATTTTCTTATTATTGAGTTGCAAGAGTTCTTCATATATTCTGGATACAAGTCTCTATCAGACACACGATTTGCAAATGTTTTCTTCCAGTCAGTCGCTTGTCTTTTCATTTTCTTAATGGTATCTTTGAAGAGCAAAAGTTTTTAACTTTGATGAAGTCCAATTTATTTCTTCATTTATGAATCATGCTTTTGGTATCATACTTAAGAACATGTTACCTAGCTCAAGTTCACAAAGATTTACTCCTAGGTTTTCTTCTTAGAAGTTACTAGTTTCAGCTCTTATATTTAGGCCTATGATCTATTTTTAGTTAATTTTTGTGTAAAGTGTGAGGAAAGGGTTTAACTCCATCCAAATTGTGGACAGTTGCAGATAGGCAATTGTCCCAGCACCGTTTGTTGAAAAGACAATCCCTTCCCTATTGAATTGCCTTGGTATCTTTGTAGAAAATAAACTGACCATAAAAGGGTTTATTTCTGGACTCTCATTGATCTAGATGTCTGTACTTATGCCAGTACAACACTGTCTTGATTTCTGTAGTTTTATAGTACATTCTGAAACTGGAAAGTGTAAGTCTTTTAACTATGTCCTTTTTCAAAACCGTTTTGGCCCTTCTAGAGCTTTTGCATTTCCATATAAATTTCAGGATCAGCCTGTCAATTTCTGCCAAAAAAGAAAAAAAAAAAATCCTGCTGGGTTTTTGATATGGACTGTTTTGAATCTGTAGATCAATTTAGGGAGAATCACCATCTTGACAGTATTGAGGCTTCAATCCCACAGGGCTATCCTGTCTCACCTATACTTGGCATTCCAATGCCCCTCACCGAAACAGTGCTGCTCCTCTCTCAAGTCGCTGGAAAGCATGAAGCTCAGCGGTCCTTTCAGCCAGGCCTGGGCCCTGTTGTTCATGTACTGTTTCCCCTGCTTCTACTTCAGCTACCACCACCACAAGCTGTGGCAGCCAGTACTGACTTACCTCAAGTCCCTCTCTGCCCTGTATCAGCAAAGACATTTTGTCCCAAGAGAGCTATGCAATCACTGTTTTTTTTTTAAGAACTTCGTTTTAGAAGCAGTAAATAACCTCAGAGCCTGGATTCAATCCTGTCTCTATCCTTAACCACACTCCCCAAACCCTAAAGCTGTGCTTCTGGCAACAGTTATTACTGAAGGCTTTTTTCACTTCTTTCATTGAGCAAACACCATATAGCAGCTCTTCATTGCTCCCACTCACCTCAACTCTGGCGCTCACACTTAGAATGTGTGTGTGTGTGTGTGTGTGTTTGCATGCACATCTACTGAAATGCAGTGCTTATGAATATGTGGCTTGTACCTTGAGGCTTCTAAAGCATAGTGTTGCTTTTCACTGGTTCATAAAGAATAAAAATGATTAACTTTGGAGGAAATTTGTTCTTTTTAACATTTTCATTTACAAGGGGGCATTGTCTACACTGTGCCTCAAAGTAAATATATTCCATTAAAATGGTGACATTAGTTTCATCTTTTATAGATAGTGGGTGTTTAACAACTTACAATACTTTTTTATCTCACTTGGCATACCCCATTCTTTGTTTCTACCGGTCTTTCACTGACTACTCCTCTATCTCCTTGACAGTTCTCTATCTTTCCCAGATGACTCCCTAATGGGAGTGCCCCAGGGCCTAGTCCTTGCTCTACTTCATTGGGCCCCCTGGTAATCTCATAAACACCTCATGAATATGTGGCTTGCAATGTTGAGGCTTCTGAAGCATAGTGTTATTTTTGATTGTTTCAGAAGGAGCACAAAAATGATCAACTTTTTAAACATTTGTTCTTTTTGATGTTTTCATTTTCAAGGGGACATTGTCTACACTGCATTTCAAATCTA